GGGTTAAGTCATTGGCATCAAACAGAGAAAACAAGTAGATTGCAGAAACAACTAAAATTGGCTTAAGAACTGTCCAACGCATTATTAAAAACTTGAAGGATATTGGGGACCCATCGTCTTTGAGGAAGAAATGTGGCAGGAAAAAGCATCCTGAATGATCGTGATTGGCGATCACTTAAACTTTTGGTGAAATCAAATAGAAGAAAAATACAGTGGAACTCTGGGCTATGTTTAATAGTGAAAGTAAGAGCATTTCCACACGCACAACACAAAGAGAACTCAAGGGATTGGGACTGAACGGCCGTGTAGCCTTAAGAAAACCAGTAATCAGTGAGGCTAACTGGAAAAGAAAAGGCTGCAGTTTGTTAGGGAAGATAAAGATTGGACTCTGGAGCAATGGATGAAGGTCATGTTGTCTGATGAGTCCAGATTTACCTTGTTTCAGAGGGATGAATGCATCATGGTAAAAATAGAGGCACCCATCATGCTTAGTGTCTACTGTACAAGCCTGTGTGGGCAGTGCTGTGGTGTGGGGTGGCTGCAGTTGGTCACGTCTAGGTTCAGCAACAGGATGTACTCAAAGAATGAGCTCATCTGAATATACTGAATGACCAGGTTATTCCATCAATGGTTGTTTCTCCCTGATGGCACGGCCATATTCCAAGATGACAATGCCAGGATTCATGGGGCTGGAATTGTGAAAGAGTGGTTCAGGGAGCATGAGACATCATTTTCACATGTCCAGAGTCCACTGAGAATGTTTGGGGTGTGCTGGAGAAGGCTTTGATCTTGGTGAAAATGAATGCAACGCTAGATGGAAATAAACCTTGTGACACTGCAGAAGCTTATTGAAACAATGTGTGCCATAATCAAAGCTAAAGGCAGTCCAATGAAATATTAGTGTGACCTTTTTTCTTTCATTGGCCAGGCAGTGTTTATTATTATTATATATTCAAGTCTTTCTGTGCTGGTCTTATGGTACAGAATATGTCTCACCTGTTTCCTGCAGATTGCTCGATGGGCTGCTTGTTTTCCTGAACAAGGGCAAATTAGTAATGCGGAAAAATAATATAGCAAATTCCTCTTTTTAACATCATTAGCTTCACTTTTTATGTGTTTTGTTGGACTTTAAATTCAAGGGGGTGGCCATGTAATTTGTAGCCATGGATCGCTTGCCTCCTCTGTAAAGTAAAAGTGTGTTTTACCAGAACTTTGATGACAAAGAGGTGTGAAGTAGAGGCCAGCAGACAAGCTCCATTGATGCTAAGACAGGCTGATGATGACACAAGCGTGATGCAACAGCCATAAGGAGGAGTGGGAGCCAAGAGGTGCAGAGAAATAAACTGATTGGTGAGAGGAGTATTCATTTAGGAAGACAAACAGCTTCATTTAAAGTTRGCCAAGCACAGAGGCACCCTGCATACTGCAAATGGGTTGAAATTTGCATCTTTTCTCTGACAGAGGGATTGGAGTTCCAGCCCCACTCCCTTGGTCTCACATCTCTAGTGATAATGGATTATCTGGAGTCCTGCCTGAAAGWGCTTCTGTCTTTGATTTGCTTTTGAACACATTTTCCAACCGGTTTTACTGAAGTAATTCCTCTTCACTCCTGATATGTAGCTGATATTGTCACAGCCATATTTATCTCCAGTAAATAAGGACTGTTTGCTGTTTCGTTTCATCCCTTGACGACATACAGAAAAACAGCTGAGTGTAGAGATAGTAGTCATTTCACGACTATTAAACAGCAGCGATGACAAACTCGCTACCATTACAWTTGATTTCTCCCTCTCTCTTACAGTAACGATCCACTGATGTTTTTTACAGCTAAGAATGAAATTAAAGTTTTGAACTTGGTAAACAGATTGTAATGATTATCTGCTAAACACTCAGCAGTTGTAGATAAGATTTTTCTGCAGCATTCTATAAATTACTTAGCCGACAGAAAGTACTTTTGTTACAGGCAGCTGGCTTCATTTCTCTTTTGTCCTCTGTTTTGACCTAAAATATTGATTTGTTGCACATAACTGACATTTTTAAGTGTTGGAAGTATGCATACCTCATGTTATCACCAACATCCTTGTTCTGGTGCAGAGAACTTTAGCTTTGTTATGGACTCAGCATTATGATGATGCAAGATTGTGTCTATGCAGACATGATTACTGCTGTTATCCCAGTAAATAATTACTAATACATGTCTTCAATGTAACTCTAAATCATTACATCTACAGGTCCTGCAGTCAGCAGGACCTGTAGACGGAATAAGTGACCCAACATATTGAAACGAGGATAAGTCAAAATGTGGAGAAATGGGATTTTAAATAAAACATTTGCCAAAAATGCATTTTGTCAAAGTATAACAAATAAATGCCTTATCAATATATAACACAAAAAAGCATTTTTTGAGCATTTTTTTAAGTAGTAGTAACAAAAAATCTGATTTTGAGGAAAAATGCCTTAAAATGTTGTGATTTTCCTTAACCAACAAAACAAATTAAGTCATATCTCTGGATCTGCTAATGACATCAGAATGATCCAGATATCAAAATGTTTTAAAGCCAGGAATCTGAAAATTTGATTAGGTCATCTTGACGAAATTTGACTTAATCCTCATTTCGATGTGATGGGTCATAGTATATGGTCAAAAATATAAACTTTGAGCCAAGTCTTAGGACAGAAATTAAAGATGGACTGAAGACAGGTGAGGGAACTGATAAACTGCACTACTTAGGCCATTTCCTGGCTTTGAGTAGTCAAAGGAAAAGATTCTTGGGGACCCCTTTATGGATCCTGAGAAGCTCAGAACACTGAAYRTTCCTAACTTTRWGTCCTTCATCTGAGGGATGCAAAGGTTTAATTAAAGCTCCATGTCTTTTTGGGGAGAGCAATGGGCCCACATATGAGGCCCCTCACTCATATGTGTTGTTCATCCATCCCCACTCACCAAACTAAAATACTCCTGACTTGTTGAGCAGGAGTAAAAGAGCGAATACCAAGACAGAAATGTTTAAAATTCTCCCTAATATTTTTGTCTTTATGACATAACTGTCTTTATGAGCTTAAATGTAAAAAAAAGCTTCAAAAYTTAAATGAAAAATTTTTCACCTTATGATTTTTTCAAATGTTTCATTTATTTGACATGTTTCCATTCATCTAGCCTTGAAATATTCATTTTCCTAATTAATTGAAGTGAATATTGTGAATGGAAAGAAAAAAATATGTTTCTGAAAACATGTTTATACCTCGACTATGGGGTACCTGACATTAGCACTTTACTCTTCAATTTAAGTTGTGTGATTTAAAACTGAACACTATTTTCATTTTGAATTAAGGAAACCGAAATCGTTGCTTTATTAAGGAAAATATGACATACATTTTTAATCACTCATTTGGTTGTTAAGCATTAATTGGAAACTGACCTCTGGAGCTGTTATTGAACGGTGTTGCATTTTGTTTAATTTTATTTTTCTAATCATAATAAAACAGAGCCATAATAGAAAGAAGCCAGCATGGTGCTGAAACAGCTGTGTGAAGCTGACACCCCACCCACACAAAAAATGCAAACAAGTAAGCGGATTGGTTAATGCTTCGTTTGTGCAGGTTTGTGCAGTTAAAATGAGCGTTTGTGCTGTTATAGTTTTTGAGATATTAAACATTATGTCTTTAGCTCATTATGACGTCACCATCCCACCAGCAACCTCCGAAATTAACCAAAACAGTATACTTATTTTGTGCTTCGTTTGTGCAGCTTAGTGCAGTAGAAATGAGCGTTTGTGCTGTTACAGATTTTGAGATATTACAAGTTTTTACTTTAACGTGATGACATCATTGTCCCCCCAGCAAGCTCCGAAATGGTGACGTCATCGGCCTAAATTATAACTGCTAATATCTCGAAAACAAAAGCTGCACAAACGACAGTTTTTACTGCACAAACCTGCACAAACGGAGCACTAACGACCTAGCCCACTTTGGTTTGTTTTTGGAGCGATATGGGGTGATGGTGAACTCTAGATGACCTAAAAAATAATTTTTAATATCTCAGACACCAAAACTGCACAAACGACACTTTTAACGGCACAAACCTGCACAAACGGAGCACTAACGATTCTGACTATTTGATGGATTTTTTGACGTGGGTGGGGTGTCAGCTTCACACAGCTTACAGAAACGACACCCAGTTTTGCACAGTTTTTAATTAGGCTTAGCATCGGGGGCTTCTTTTGTGTTAAATGCCTTTTTTAAGAAAAATTCTTAAAATAAATTAAAGTTTTTTAAGTGAAAACTGTTTTGTTTCTTGAAATAAAATAAGTTTGACAAAGAATTAGGACCACACTGCAAGATTTTATTTTTTTAATTACGAGAATAAAGTAATTTGAGAATATAGTCTAAATAATATGAGAATAAAGTCATAATATTACGAGAATAAAGTAAGAATAATACAAAAATAAAGCTGAAATAATATGAGAATAACATTCGTAATATTATAAGAACTCCTACATGAAAAAGTGATCTCATCACTGCGTTAAAATAAGGAATGTTGAGCATGTTGTAAAGTTATATTTTGGTAAACTCAAGCCATATCACATTGCAGTTAATGGCTGCATTAATAGATTTAGTCATCACATAATGTGGATGGAAACATATTACACTGACAGTGATGGTGGACTACTTCATAAACACAATGAGACTGTCCACAGTTGGTCCGAGTTGACCCAAGAATGGAAAATGGAAAATGTTATGACTTTATTCTGGTAGTATTATAACATTGTTTTCATAATAAATTAAAAAAAATTGTGATGTGTTGCCCTAAAACTCCGTCATATATAAGAACTTAAATAGCAAATGCACGTTTAACTGCAGTTATACTGTTATTTGGTCTTTTCCCATCTGTCCAAGTCAATACAGTTTACAGTTGCCACACGTTCAGGAACATGAAAAGACAAATCCATCAGTGATCCCTCTGTTCTTACCCCATCCTAATACAYCCGTTCTGTTTCCAGGCACCCCTCCAGCCACGGGCACAGGCACATTGATCATTCACTTGGAGGACTACAATGACAATGCCCCGTACGTAGTACCGTCAGTAGCACAAGTGTGTGAAGATGCCCACGACATGAATGTCGCCGTAGTTGGGGGCTGGGACAAGGACCTCCCACCCAACGCGGCCCCTTTTAAGATAGAGTTGGGGAAACAACCTGGTCTGGACAAAACGTGGAAGGTTTCCAGACTTAACTGTGAGTATTTCAGCTTTAATTGAGATTCTGTGGCTGTTTGGATGAAACTATTTATCCAGAACTGCACTTGTTCACTCAGAGTTTTATAGAACCAGCAGGTCTTTTAAACATGCACATGTCCAAACACCTGTTTGCTTTCCAACAATAACTCTAACAGACCCAGTGCACTGAATTGCTATTTCTTCACCGTGTTGTTATGCTGCTTTTCTTCTCAACTAGAGCTTTAAAGCCATTCACACAATGTTGTCCAGAAAGGCCCATGGGAACGCAGAAATGAAAATAAATGAATATAACAATTTCACTTCAAGAATAGTCAAGGGCCAATTTATCCAAGCACAGCTCTGTTGATTTGAGCCCGTACAGATTACAGAGTGGAGCAGGCTTAGCTGCAGATGTCCGCGGCGTGATGAAGGTGAAAAGAAAAATGATCCAATGAGGAAAGCAGAGAGACGGTTAAACAGGAACCAGACATTGAATCAGGATTGCATGAGTGAAAGTTGTGTGTGTGTGTGTGTGTGTGTGTGTGTGTGTGTGTGTGTGTGTGTGTG